AGACGAGAAAGCGGCCTGTCGCGCGCCCGCAGCTCCTCCTCCTGCATAAACAGGAAGACCACAGCGCTCTGACTTCCGGCAGGACCCACTTCCGCCGGCCTACACGTCATTTCCGAACGCGGGCCCTCGGCACGTGACCGGAGCGCTGTGGAAAGGTCATGTGATATGCGCAGGCATCGTGCCGCTGCGCCTGAGCTTGGGAGAAGCGCAGAGTGGTCTGGGGCGGCCCTTTTACAGGGAGGCGTTTAGCTTAGGCGTGGCTCGGCCGAAGCGCTTTTGAACGTTTCCCGGGCAGACAGCCTGCTTCAGCAATAAAGAGTCTCCAGCCCTGCGCCTGCATGCTCTGTAATTGTTTTTTGTCCAAGTGCAGAATGAATTTTGTTATATGCACCACCCTGGAAGTGAGGCATCCCCTCATCTCCCTATTGGTGCACATTGGGATGGAGTGCCCCCCCCCATATGACATGGACTCATGAACATGACTATACATAACTCAAAGGTGGTTTGAGCAAATTATTTCATGTAACCCATCAATCTTCATGTCATGGTCTTCTGGTTCTGTTTATTTGACTCTGTTGTATGTATCATGTGCATGTGTAAAATTAGGCAGATGGAATTGGGAATACTTTGTGAGTTTCAAATGCGTGAATGGGAGTTATGGAAGGTGGTACCTGCAACTTCTAGATGAGCCACTGTTAAACAATCTTTTGTCCTAAAGCCTGAGCAGTAGTTGGTAAGGAGTGGCCTCTACTCCTTAACAAAAGGAATAGGAAAGGCGAGGCCTGGGTCTTTTGGCTGAGCTGCACCTGAAGGAAGGAGCCCGAGATCCCAGGGTGGGGAGGAGAATCCTGGTTTAGAGTACAGCTGGAGAAGAGGTTTTAGGGTGAGTTTAAGTTTGCTCAGAGGTTTCAATGTAGAATTAGTCAAGCAGTTTTATTTGATTTGTAACCTATTTCACTTATTACTACTTAAATCCTACTGCTTCAACTTAATAAAACCTTTTTTATTTTCTATCAAACCCAGTGTAAGCAATTGTTGCCTGGGGAGGAGGGGCAACCAGTGTGCACATTCCCCCTTCATTGCTAAAGGGAGCTTACCTAATTCTTAGTGGTTTGATCCCCTCTGGGGAGTGTTCTCTCAGGAGGCTGGGCCCTAAACTGCAATTTGATTTGTAACCTATTTCACTTATTACTACTTAAATCCTACTGCTTCAACTTAATAAAACCTTTTTTATTTTCTATCAAACCCAGTGTAAGCAATTGTTGCCTGGGGAGGAGGGGCAACCAGTGTGCACATTCCCCCTTCATTGCTAAAGGGAGCTTACCTAATTCTTAGTGGTTTGATCCCCTCTGGAGAGTGTTCTCTCAGGAGGCTGGGCCCTAAACTGCACTCTACTTGGACCGGAAGTAGTTCAGGGTCTGTACTGCTTCTTGATGGGGGCAGGGACCTCAGCTCGGGGCCTTGGCTGGGGGAGATCAGCAGAGCTGGCTCAGCAGGACCCGGGCAGCGAGGAGCCCCAGAGAGCAGGAAGACGAGTGGCAATGACCATGTCAGCACCCCAGGAGGCACCCAAGGGGTCATCTGTGACCACACCCCGTCACACACACACACAACCAAATTCATTATGCATCTGAACAGTCTGAAGTGGGGAGTGTGTGTGTGGGGGGCAGAACTTAGGATTGGGTAATGATGGGGGGGCAGGAGAAGAGTAAGGGCTCAGGCCAGGAGCTGCAGGCTCTGGAGTAGGACAAAAGTGAGGGATTCAGGGTAGAGGGGTCTCTGGGCTGGGGCAGAGGGCTAGGATACAGGAGCAGATGAGGTTGCCAGCTGAGGGTCAGGCCTGAGACAAGAGTTAGGGGGCGGGCTCTGAGAGGGAGGGTAAAGCAGGAGGCTGGAGTGCAGGAATAGATTTGGGCTACAGCGGGGGCAGGAGAAGAGTAAGGGCTCAGGCCAGGAGCTGCAGGCTCTGGAGTAGGACAAAAGTGAGGGATTCAGGGTAGAGGGGTCTCTGGGCTGGGGCAGAGAGCTAGGATACAGGAGCAGATGAGGTTGCCAGCTGAGGGTCAGGCCTGAGGCAAGAGTTAGGGGGCGGGCTCTGAGAGGGAGGGTAGAGCAGGAGGCTGGAGTGCAGGAATAGATTTGGGCTACAGCAGTGAACCCCAACCTTTTGGGGCTGCTGGGATGGGTGGGGGTGGGGCTGCATACACACTGCGTACCCGGGGGTAGGGGTCGCACATGCGCTGGGGGTCCAGGGCGCAAGAATGTCTCAGGCTGGCCCTGGTCACTAGGCAGGCGCACATAAATGCCCCGGCAGGTGCTATGGTGCCCATGGGCACCACGTTGGGGACCACTGGGCTACAAGCTTCAGTGGGGTGGTGTGTACTTCCAGGGGCTCCCTATTGGTAGAGTAGTGAGGATAAGGCAGGTCCTCTGCCGGCCCTGCCTTTGCCAGCCACTTCCAGGAGCTGTGCTTAGTCAACACCCAAGCTATAGGCCAGGGTACTTGATGCACTGTCCCTCCAGCTCCCGTTGGCCATGGTTCCAGGCCAAAGGGAGCTGCGGAGTCAGCACTTGGGAGCAGTACACATAGCCCATAAGCACAGGGGTGATCAGAGAAGCTATAGGGACATGCCACTGGCACGTACGCATCCAGTGGCGGGCGGGGCTGCCCAGGGTCGGGTTTCCTACCTGTGATGCATAGACTTACCCCAAGACAGGTGAAATAAAGCTGCAGGCTGGATCTGGGCCATAGGTTTTCCATCCCCTTTCTTAAAGTGCATCTCCCCACTTTATCTCTAGCAGACTGGGCCTCACCCTCGGGGCAGCACAGCACAGCACAGATTGCAAAGGGAACAATGCCGCCAACAAGTCCACTTTACTTGTTCTCAGTGGTGCAGTGATTGGAACAACAAAAAAAAAAAAAAAAAAGGGCTTCTCTGTGTGGTACCCATAAACTATTGACAGCAATGGGCCACAACATTACTACATACCATAAAGTAGAGACTGGGCCTTGCTGTTATTGGGGTAGCCTATTTTTTTCAAGGTCCTAATTTCTTGGGCTAGGAGGGGAGAAAAAAGTAAGTAAATAAAAAGATGTTAGGGTCTGTTCAATAGCATCTGGTGGACTGGCTTAGGCCCATGGTTCGCCTATTGAGTATCCCTGCCATAAGCCAAAAGCGAAAAACCAGGGGGACAACCCCTGTAAACTCAAGTGTAATTTTACACACAGACATCTGTTTATAAGACAGAATAGAGATTAATATAGCACAGACCACATACATATCAAGTTCTGCATCCTTTATTACGCTTAATCTTCACCTTGTATTGCTGACAGCTGTAAAGTAAGCAAAAAGATATTTCTCCCATTCACTACAAGGGTATTTACAAATGGCATTTTGTTATATTAACGTATTAATTACAAATCAAAGAGTATACCACATCAACTCTAATATTATGCTAATGAACATCTATTATCTTGGTGCATGATGTGTTTTAGTTGAGACCCTTTGGTGTAGTACCTTAGACAGCACACTATCACTAATAGTCTTGCAACAGTCTACTGCATTTCTGGGTAACTTTTCCAAAAACTGCCTTCATATAAATAATTCATTTAAAAGCACAATAGGAATCATGAGACCTTGAGAACCACAAGTCATGAGAACCATTATTTAAAACAGAATTGAACAAAAGTACAGTATATAGATAACATATCAACATTAATCTAAAACACACTTTTTTTTTAATTGTTTCTGAAGAACAAGAATGCATGTCATAAGATGTTTTTTAAATTGTTTCTGAAGAACAAGAATGCATGTCATAAGATGCCTTTTAGTGCTGTTAATCTAAATGTGACTATGTTTTCATAGGAAGGAAATTATCTAAAGTGCCATGTAATGTATTTTTAAAGCTGCAATCCCTTAATTGAAAACTTTAGAACAATGGCATTTAATGTTTAAAAATAACTCCATCTCTGAATTATTATGAGTGCTAAGTACCATATATCCTAAAAGGTGCCAATTATAATAGGACTGCAGCTTTTAACAAAATATATTACAACATTAAGGTAAAAAATGATTGCTTCTAATTAAGCATAGCCCTCTTTATGAACAATTTTAAATGCACAACAGTTTAAGGAAAAGTTATTGTTCCTTCAAGAAGATTTTATAAGTTAAAAAGAAATCAAGTCCAGGTAGAGCACGAAGCTCAATTTTTTGACTAACTAGTTCAATTATTCTATCACTATTCATACAACATCACTGATTAAAACAATATGAATAGTGGTCTCATTAAGAAAAAAATGCAGTTTTGCTATATTTGGTCTCAATCCTGAGGTCACTCAGCATAACAACTCCCACTGAAATTAATGGGTTAAATATTGCTCTCTTGGATCACAATGGAAAATGGACTTTTAAGTTATACCCAACAGGCCCAAAAGTTTGTGGAGGGTATTAAGCCCCTTCAAGAATGAGCCCTTTATAAGGTACCAATAAATATAAGGCACAAGCAAGCGTATCATCAATCTAACTCATTCAGTATATTGGGTCTTTACCAACATAAAGCTTCAAAGGTATTCTAAGAAATATATACCAGCACTTTTAAGTGTTGGGTATACATTTTCTCCTATACACTGTATTTGGTATCATTAGTATTCAATTAAATACTGATGTCCACTCACAAGATGATTACTTTTCTTTAAGACTAACACAATGAACAAGCAAAGATTATTTAGGAAGTCTATAAAATCATTTGCACCAATGTGCATTCATTTTTGGTGTATTTTAAACACTAGTAAACTGCTTTTTCTGTACACCTCTCAAATCTTGTCAGTTATAGGTATCTCCCTACTCAGATTCAGTTGCCCTGCTTAGTCACTTTATTCCTTATGACCCTGATCCAAAGCCCACTGACACCAGTGAGCTTTGAATCAGGACCTATTTTCCATGAATTATGCCCCTAATCTCTATTTACTTCTATATTATTAAATTGTCAGATTGTCCTTCATTCCCACTTCCGTACCAAACACCTCACCACTATGTTCAGTATCTGTGCCAATACTCTAATTGTTGGAGTACCCTCGTTTTTAAAACAAGAAAGTTATTTCTAATACACCACTTGAAAGCACCTTAACTATTTGTAAAAATACAAATCTGTTAGAGCAAAATTCTAGGAAAAAAGCTCAATTTAATGAACATACACCAGCATTCATATACAATGCCCAAAAGCTCAAGCTGGAAGGTATATGATTAAAAATATTTTCCAAATTTCTCTAGCAGCATGCTAATGTCAAGTTCATTACATGAAAACAATAAAGTGCTCTACCATTACTGTGTCTGCTTAGCACAAGGATCATTTTATAGTCTATGCTTTACTGCACTGACTAGCTGGACTGCAATTGTGCTCTAGTCATGCCATCTACACTTAAGGAAGTCAGGGAGGCAGCTTTTCTGTGCTGACTCTGCACAACCTAAAATTCTACATATATCAGAGACACTTGCAGGTAGACTGTTAAGTCAGTTTTAGAACCACTTTGACCCAGCAAAGGGCACAATTGAAAAATTGTAAACATGAAAATAAGGCCTATATGGTGCATAGTTTAGTGAAAGTACACAGATAAAAAAAATTAATTAAATTGACGAAACATTTGTACATTATCCTCTTCATTTTGAAAACAAGAACTACAGTCTTAAGAAAAAAAAACAAAAAACTTTTCATTCTTGTGTGTGAAGAAACCTGTATCTACCAGGGAACCTTTTTTCCTTAGCAAACCCAGCATTTTCATGAGCAGATATAGCATGATTTCACTGGGTTTAAAGTTTCAGTTGCTGCTGAAGGTCATTAATTGATGCTGCACTGTTCTGCAGTTTCTTTGCCACCAATTTATCCTCCGTCAGTGTTTTGATAATTTCAATCACTCCATTTGTTCCAAGAATACATGGCATACTTAAAAATACTTCACTGTTTATATTGCAGCACCCCTGAAATAGTGAATACAAAAATAATGTGGATAGAACCACCAACTTCAATAATCTCCATTCCCCATGCCCACTATGAAATAGTAAATTAACAATTCAAATTAGGAAGGATAATTCATCACAAGATATGCTTTGTTTAGCTTACAAGCACAGCTTAATTCCTATGTAGGATGTTCACAGGCCTTGTAAAGTAAAGTTACTTTAACTACAGAAAAGTGTTTCAATGCTGTTTTTAATAAACACAGCTTTAATATAGTTTTTTAGAATGAAGTTTAAACTTCAGTCTGAGATTCTGGTTGGTCAAATATAAGCATATCTTCTCTTCCATGATCAGAAAAGTCAGAAACTAGAGAAGTTTGTCCCTGATTTAACAAATATAGTAATGAGAATATCTACATCATATTCTTGTAAATGGAGTTGAAGATGTTTGGCTCTTGCAGAGATTTGCATCAACATCAAGCACTTGGAAACATGACATGTTTATTATTTTGCCAAAACTAACTGTTAACAGCCTTGAGAACAGGTCTGCACATGTTGCATCTCTCAACTGCTTATATTTTGAAAGTCCAGTACAGAGGGCAGTAATTGACTTTTGCTCATTTTCAGACGAATCCTAAAAGCTAGGTGCCTAAAGTATGAAAACTTAACTTGTGCATCTGCAGAATGGTTGGTCAGGATTAAGATCTATGTTTGTCCACAATTAACATGAGTAATAGGATTAAAAGCACAATAGAAAAATATATTAAATTAATACCATATTTACCTTTGCCAGAGTTGATATGGAGTGAACCTTTCTTTTATCTTTCAGTATACTTTCAATCAGATCAGCTATTGACAGTCCAACAGACCAGGACTTTTGACCTTTTCCCTTAAGAACTTCCATGGCTCTATATAAAGAAAAATGTGGGTTTAGAAATTTCTTCAGTTACCCATGTTTTGTTCAACATACAGTATCTCCACAAGCACACAAAGTACTGCATACATACCAGATGAATTCTCCTAGTTTTCTAGAAATTGCTTTCTAAAATAGTGCTTTATTTCCCCCAGTTCTACAAATTTCACCATTTTTTAATTCCTCCAGCAAATGGTACAAACTTTGCTAACTTAATACAAAGTTATCATGGCAGACATTTTCCTGTTTTCCATGGAAAAAGTAATATTAAATATATACCCTGTTCACTACAGTGTATTCCTGATCAAGTGCTCTGAGAATCTCAGAGGGAAGATACTAAGTGTCATGTATTAATAACAGCCTAGCTTACTGCATCAAATAAATGCTGAGGCAAGGCCTTTAGTGTTAATGTGGCAAACAGTTCAGAGATCACATTTAGTCTAGTAACATTACCACTTAATTGTATTTAGCTATTAAAAACACTTTTCCTGTATACTCAAGGTATACAGGAATACTGGTGACGTGAAAAATGCAGACGAGAAGTAAAGAAAAGTCAGACTATTCAGAAATTCTGAATTTTGCAGATTGGCAAAAAAACAAACCAAAACAAAACAAAAACTTATGGGAACAGGATGATGTGAATCTAAGTTTAGTGTTGTAACAGTATTACCTCTTAGCCAACTGCTCCTGAGAATTATGATTCACTATTCCTTCAGTTTGATATGTTATTAAATTAGAACCACTCCATGCAGGTACTACATAAAATTAAAAAAAACAAACAAAAACAAAACAAAGCACAAAACACTTTTGTCATAATATATTGGAATGATAACATTTTAAACTGATTTTCTGAAGCATAGGCTAGTAGTGTCATAATATATTGGAATAACATTTTAAACTGATTTTCTGAAGCATAGGCTAGTACAGGCTCTGAACTCAGCTGGTGTCTTGTTGAGGTTATAAATAGAACCTTGCCAATTTGCAGATATCTATCTGTTTTATATCCACAGATATGGATGCGGGTATCTGCAGATCATTTTTGTAGATACGGATTCCAATTTTGTATGCACGCAGGGCTCTAGTTATAAAATCTATGGCAGAACTTGCCTGGAGGCACTTGTTCAAAAAAAAAGACTCCATATAAGAATTTAATATAATTTGTTGTGATGCATTAAGTAAGTGCACTATGTAGAATGATGGAATATGGCTCCTGTTGTCAACAAACAAACAAACCCCCACACATGTATTAAAGATGATATCCTAAGCTTTAATGCAAAGAGAGAAGGGATACAGGTTAAATAAAACATGTTTTATCTTAATGTTTCTCAGCATTCCCTTTCTAAGGGTTTTTTTTTTAAACTCTCCTTCCTTAAAATTTTTACATGCTTTTATTGCCTTACCTACAATTAAAATGTTTGGATTTGATGTCTTTACCCAATCCCTTAACACATAATGATGTTATGAGGGTAGGTGAGTGTGCATGTGCATGTACAAGGCTGATGAGTATTACTGGAATGACAGCCTTAGAGAGAGCCCTGCGTGCATATGGTAACTGTATCCGCATCAAATCCATGATCCATGGATGTGGATACCTGTAGATATAAAGCAGATAAATATCCACAGATTTGCAGGGCTCCACTTATATAGCACAAGAAATAGCTTCTCAAGTTTAGTCACATGGTTCTGTCAGCATGTCTGAACCCCCTAAAGTAGTGTTTCTTAAACTGTGTTCCGCGGAGAACAGAATTTATAATGGCCGCCCTTGAAGGGGCAGGTGACGCCCCCCCAACAAAAAAATCCTTGGTGTTCCTCATAAAAAATTGTTTGGTGTTCCTCAGTCTTAAAAAGTTTAAGTAACATTGCCCTAAAGAGACTAACGTTAAGAGCAAGAGGCTAGGTCAGTCTCCATTCCCATTTCATCTCTGTTGAAATTGCTCACAAGGAGAGACAATAACTGTTACCAAAAATCACACATAAATGTATCTACCAAGAAGAGGATTAAACCGACCCATTCAGTTCACACCTGTTGCTACACATGTCAATTTTCTGTCAACTCAAGTTGGATCTGAAGTAACTTAGAGGTGACAGGTCCATACTCTTATTACCAGTTCCCTTAAACATCAACCACTCTCCCCACTGTCTATCAATTTCAAATAGGAATACGGTCAAAAGAAAAAACAGATCTGAGTACAACCTTTATGTTCAGGCCAAATATTGCAAAATTTGGTTATAAATACTTTCCCCTCAGACTTTGCTGTAAAGCCACAGTGTCCAATATGCTAGCCACTAGTCACATGTGGCTGTTTGGCTGGTTGAGTGTGGCTAGTTTGCTTCAAAACTGATTGGACACCCTAGCTGTTAAGTAACAGTGGAAAATACATCCTCCATAGTAGTGTTCATTTGATTTGGCAAGCATAATGAAAAGCAATCCTGAACTCAATATGTGAATATTGGGTTCTTAGTGGAGAGCTATCCAAAAAAAAAAAAAAAAAAAACACACAAACCACCAGCACAACAAACCACAAAAACTACTATACTCACTTTCAGCAGAGACCCTCAGTAATGAATGGACCATGGATGGAGACAAAGCTATTCTCTCACCCTTAAGTTAGGTGGATTCAATAAATCATGACTGGCAGAGAACAGGGGGAGCCAGCATGCATCAATGTGGTATAATGTTTTCAATTCTTTGAAATTCAAACACAATGCGTTATTATTTAGCCTAACACATGGAAGGAAATCTGGGAATGGCATGACAGTTGAAAAGCCACGTACTACAACAAAGCTATCAAGGATACTTTGAAGTGTGACAGAGCCCAGATTCATGAAGACTGACAAACCTACTGTACAGATTACATCTATTATTGCTTTCTTATAAATGAGTCTGTATTTCAGCTGGAAGTCATGACTTAAAGAACCCATAAAATGAAAACACTGATAGTGAAAGTTGTTTTATGAGTCAGAAAGATACACTAGAAAAATGTTACTGAGATTTTAAAACAGATTAAAAGTTACTCTAAAGAAATAATGTATTTTCTCTCCCCCCTTTATTAGACATAACATCCAGGCAGCAAGTCCATCCCAAAGGTTAGCTGCAATTTCCACTCTTCATATATGCTCAAATCTCCATTACAGAACAGTTCTCAATTTATATACTTTTTTTTTACCTAACTATTCTTTTTCTCTTTTTTTTTTAAAATGGTTTTATTTTTTTGAGGACAACCTTTGAAAGGAAAAGGGAGGTAATTCTCCTCTGAAGAAAATTCCCTCCTTAGAAGGACTCAATTTAAGAGGGGGAAAAACCTGACACTTAATAGTAGCTGCATTGTGTAGGAACAGGTGCTGCACAATCATGAATTAAATTAAGTGTAATGTTTCTACGTGGAACAGAAATTTAAGCAGACCAGATAAAGAGCCTAGTTTGTTTTCTTAATTACTTAATCCTTCATAGATCACTTCTTTTAAATGTAGGGAGAATCTAAAACAGAACTAATACACTTCTGTGAGAGCACTTAATTCTATCTTTTGAGATCCAAAACTTCTGGGCTCCATTTTTGTCTCTGCTGTGCACCTTGGGAAGTCAATTACAGCCAGTTTGCAAAGGAGTTGAGCAAACACAGCTACTGTGAACATCCATGTGAACTAGGAGACAGCACCTCTGAAAACCATGATATTCTCTGAAGTACTGACAGCCCTCCTGTCATCTGTCAACATCTTTAATGTAATTTAGTGTTATACCACATGAACAAAGCTGTATTTCTGTACATTTCTCCCCATTTGGGCCTGAAGTACTGACAGCCCTCCCGTCCTCCGTCAACATCTTTAACGTAATTTAGCGTTATACCACATGAACAAAGCTATATTTCTGTACATTTCTCCCCATTTGGGAACGCACAGAGAACATCTTTGTACATTGCCAGAACATTGGACATATGCCCATAAGTCATAATCATACATCAGTTTACCTTTGCCTTCCCCTTGTTCGCCGATAATCCAAGCCTCTTTTCCTATGGTCTGTGCTTTCAACAAGTTTGTAATAATATATTGGAATCTTTCAGTGTCTAGATTACAACCAATTCCAATAACTCTGCTTTTAGGAAATGCACTCAGCTTCCATGATACATGTGTCATTATTTCCACTAAACATGGGACAAAAGTATGTTGAAAACAATTATGCCCAAAATTTAAAACAGTAAACTATAATTCATTCACAAGAAACAAGAGCAGGAACATTTTATAACTCAAAACAAACATACAGGACAATATTAGCAGTTTACTCACAGCTAAAACAATGAGTCAGGCTTTGAAAATAAATGTCATAGCTCCAGTAAAATAGTCACAAAATAAATAAAACTCTCCCTCCCCGCTCCAAAACAGCAACATCCCTTCTCAAAATTTAGTTCATATGTCAAAATGTAGACATGTGGTAAATGTCTCCCCTCCTTCCCTTTTTTGGATGAAGCAAAGAGTTCTCTTTCCAATTGCTCTAATATTAACATGTTTTGAGTGTGAGGGAAAGGGGTAGGTTCACGTCTATGTCTTCCTTCCATAGAATCAGAGCTGGAAGAGACCTCAGGAAATCATCAAGTCCAGCCCCCTGCCCAAGGCAGGACCAATCCCAACTAAATTAACCCAGTATTTTGACAGAAAATCATGGAATTATGATAGTGTTTCCAAACAAACGGGCAAAGTATTTACTGGTAACATAGGGGGCTATCCACCAGAAATTTTGATCCTATTGCATGTTTATATTATTAAGGCATAGGGGAGAGGAGGGGGGAGAGAGAGATCTTTACACTAAAAACATTTGCAAGGTACTCTGACTATAGTGGATAGACATATCATAAGACTCTAGACAAAGTGAGGTTTAAAACTATACAGAAAACAAAACACATGAAAATACTAATTTTCCACCCTTATGTAAACTATGACTAAGACAACATCTTACCAACAGCCTCTTCATATAGAAAAACACACAGATAAAAGTGGCTTGCCCAAGTTTGAAGAGGGAGTCCATCTCAAAACTGGGATTAGAATTTAAGAGTGCTGGCTCCCTGCTCAGTAGAATATACCAAGAAACAGGGTAGTCTTTAAATAGATCAGAAACAAATCAGGTATAGGGACAAACAAGATCAAATACATGTAAAATACCCATGAACCTGGATGAGATGCAACAAGTAGCACACTATTTTGACTATAACGTGCTACTGCTGGGATGATTCCTCTGAATAGATCCACGTTGCTCTGAATGACATCAAGATATGACTGAGCATTACCCAGAGAATTAACGGTGAGCACCACCACTTTTGAATCAGCAGAAGCAGAAAAATCTGATAAAAGAAATTGAGGATGTTTTTTAAAAGAAATTGAGGATGTTTTTTAAAATCTCATTTTATCAAGTTAGATATGTCAAGGCAGATTTGACACAAAGATGTTTTAAATAACCCACACTAAACCTAATACATATAGGTTTACTTCACCACATAACTACTTTTGTTTGTCTTGCCACAAGACCTTTAAGTTTTTCCTACAGTAGAACTGAATTATGGAGACAGAAAAGGCTATTTTTTATGTATCATCATCCCTGATCTACTGTGTTGCAAGTATACACAGAGCTTTGTTTTGGAACTTTCCTACTATATAAGTGTACTTTGTACCCTTCTACAGTATTTCTAATCCAAGATTCCAAAGTATCTTATATAGGTAATCTCAGAGTTACAAACATCTGCACATACAGAAAAAGCTTTGCTATAGCCTCAGGGGAACAAGTAGGAGGTGCAAGTTGCCACGAACAGTGCAAGCGCCCCCAGAAAAGCAGAGGGAAGTTGCACAGCCTACCAGAGTGAATAGCGCTTTGAAGGGGAAACCACCACTTCTTTCCAGCTACCTGTTGCTCCCTGCTCCTCCAGAGTCCTGCAACTCGCACTCACATTGCTTGCTGCCACCCAAACACAGCCTGTGGAAGGAGCCAGCAAGGGGATGGGGTTGGGAGCGTCCCTAGTTGGTGCTGAGCCCACAGGGGAGGTGGGGGGCTTTAGGATGCTTGAGGAGGCCATGGCATTGTCTGAGGAGCAAGACCCCAACTCCTCAAGATTTGCCTCAATTTCCAGAGTGGTCAACACTGCCCTCACATGTTACAAGGAAATTTACTTTGAGAAAAAGATGGTAACTGTCCAAGCTTTTCTAGAAACATTTTCTAAGAAAAGTGCTCCAAAGGAATGAATACCATGAACCTCTCGAAAGTGCCCCGAAATCCCCTACAGAATCTGCACCTACTTCCTCATACTCTAATTAAACCTGACTTTCCACAAGCATTCAAGGTAAACAAATTGTTAGTCAATTGTATTGTTTTTCTTTGTTTAGTTACTAGTATGGCAATAGTATTGTTTTCTACTATTTTTCACTGCAGATAGTATTTCAGCTACATTATGGGTTAAAAAACAGGCTTTCATGGGCTTGCCTGAGAACCTAACCACCATTTAGAACATTGTTTCTCTGGGAAAACGTGTTCCAAGTTCCAAACAAACAACTTACAAAAGAACTTTTAGAACACAACCCATTCGTAAGTTGGGGACTTCCTGGTTACAACTCACAGAACCCATCTGAGGTTGACATTATCCCCATTTATGGATAGAAACTGCAGTTTGCCCAAGATCATACAGAGCTTGCTGCCCAGAAATCTGAGCTCCCAGTCTCCTACTCTAACAAAATGGACATTTCTACCACAGATTAATTTATGTTTTTTTCTTTATACCTTCCTAAGAAACTAAGTAGTAAAAATAAGCATCCTTCTCCTGCCATTTTTAATTGGATCTCTAAACAAGAAATTGTCTTCTTTTTCCAACCCCATGTAGGTAGTATTTAGAATGGGGCCTTCACTATAGTGCCTGACCACTGCATCCTTATAACCCCAGATTCTGGGGGAAATCTTTATCCTCATTTCTTCCTTTCACATAGAGGTATTTTGTTCTTTTAGTCCAGCATCAAGAACACTGACGCAGTATTGAAGAGTCTGTTCTAGTGGCTTGAGGTGGAACATCCCCAGCCACTAAAAAGTATATTACAAAATATCTAGTAAATGAACTAAATGCAGCTAGATATCACAAGAGATCTAAGTCTACAAAACCAGAACAGATCACAGTATCAGAGAGGAGGAGTACAAACTTCCCTGGACCATGATACCAGCATATAACAGCCTGAACCAGCAGACACCACTTCTCTAGGTGAAAAAAAAAGATAATGTGTGCTTATAGACCCATAATGAATTTAATGACTGAAAAAATGAATGTTTCTATCACTCTTTTTGGTGATCAAGTTCTCAAAGTATTAAATAACTATACAGCAAAATAAAATACTGGAACATACAGTAGTATGTTCCACTACTGTATAAAAAAAAAAAAGTACCTTTGCTGATTTCTACATTTGGCAGACTAAAGATATCCAGGTCCATTGTTCCTCCTTTTGCTGTACTTTCTGAGAGGTCTATGAGAACCACCTGGTCTGCAGCACCCTGTACACATACATATATTTTAACTCATGCAGCAAAATAAAAAACACAGTTTATTCTGATAAAGATGCTTCTGAGATTTGATCTCACTGTAAAAGAGATGCAAATTGAGTTGCAAAAAAACCCGCTGCCCAAACCAAAGCCACCAATGACTATGTAATATTAAATGGAAAATTGGACAACTGTGTTGGTAGTTTCATTGCCAAATAGTATATTAAACCACATAAACAGCCTCCTCTTAAGAAGTGCTGCACCCAACATTCAAAGTAAAGGCCAAAACTCTGACTACTGAGCAAATACAGAAATACCGTATACTCAGAGGACTCCACAGTACAGATCACAGCCTTGACAATACCCCTGTACTACAAATTTGTGTGTTCTGCGTGTTCACCCTTAATGTTTTATAATTAACAGCTCTGTCAGACACCATAAAGGATGATTACATTTGAAAGGTGTAAAATTTACTTTTAATATATTTAAATAGGAAAAAAGTAAACTGTAGAAGCAGCATCATAAATTATTAAAAGTACTTAAAATGAAGTGATTGTTTGTGTGTGTTAAATACTAAGAGCTAGATGAAATAGCATTACAGGGTCAGCACTAGACAATATTAATAGATTCTACTGAAGACAAGAAAATACCTTTGCTGCAATTGCTAGTACACAAGCAATGCCGAGATCTCCTGCTCCAATCACAGTAACTTTGTTAACGCCTCCATCTCTTTTCTGTCCACTCACCATAGTCTTTGAATTCATGTCAGTTTCACCTAAAATTAAAAATACCATACTATCTACTATATATGAAAGATAATGCCTGAGTCTAATCAACCAAAATTATTTTATCTTCTCCAATACATTGGTCATGCTATAGAAACTAATTTTTCAAGGCTTCCATTGTGCAAGACATTTTTTCCACAAGATTATATTCTTACAGTTCACATTTAAATTAAACTTTTCATAAGCAAAGAACAAAAATAGATGCCTTGTCTACTGACCATGCTCCCTAAACTCTCCATTCATCTCTGCTACTGAAACGTAGTGTGATGTAGGGGCAACTCATTTAATATAGTATCAGTACACCTTCTTTTTCTCCTGCTACTCTTTGTCCATCTTGTATATAACAGCATAAGCGATACTATCACAGGAGCTAACCACATAAACCACATCACGGACTCGTAAAACTACACATCCTCTAATGTGATAAATGCCACCAAGTGCCAGCAATGTATATTGGCCAAACCAGATAGACTCTGCGACAATGGATAAATGGACACCGTCAACCTGGGTTTGAATAAAGATATTAATTGGTTTAGATATTACAAAGGCAACTTCCCCTGCCTTTGACATTCACACTTTCACATCAAATTCTATTAATTGAACACATCCAGCCTACTCAATTAGTTTAATTAACACGGGTCCTACAATTGTCAGGAAACTGCTTTGGCTGCTATATAAACTCTGGATTAGGAGTATTAAAATGCATGAAATTAAATAACCATGTAACTGCTGAATACTTCAGCGGTTGCATGGTTACACACAGAGTGGCAGGCAGCTCTGTATCAGAGCAGCAGTGGAGGGGAAGCCAGCTCCCCGCACATACCAGCTCCCACCTGCCACCCCACACTACTGCCTTTGATATACAGGCAGCAGCACAGGACAGGCTCCCAGGGAGCTGGTGTGCACCAGGAGCCTACATGTAACCTGGCTCCCCAAGTATACAGGGAACCTGCATGTAACCATGAACATTAACTGATGAGGTCAGCCTCAACCATGTACACAATCATACTTTCCAGCCCTGCTCTGGATTATGCAATTTTCACTTCAACTCATCTGATTAAGTAGATTTTACCCACAAAAGCTCATGATCCTATATATCTGTTAGCCTCTAAGGTGCCACAAGACTACTTGTTTTTAAAGTTACAGACTAACACAGCTACCCCTCAGACATTTTGTCCATTTTGTTTGTTTAGATGAAGATCTTTGAGACAAGAACTTTCTCTCCACAGGAGTTTGCAGTGTCTGCACTTGGTTACAAGAAGCAGTGATGTGGACTACAATGTGGGAGGGGGATTTCTAAAAGAGACACTAGTGTTGCACTTCCAAAGGTCTATGTAGACCTTCAATGGTGTGCACCTAGGGTTCCCTAATGCTCTTTAATGTTAGCGCTGTTTCAAACAGTATGAACATAAAAAGCTCACTAAGCTAGGAGTTTGCAGTGTCTGCACTTGGTTACAAGAAGCAGTGATGTGGACTACAATGTGGGAGGGGGATTTCTAAAAGAGACACTAGTGTTGCACTTCCAAAGGTCTATGTAGACCTTCAATGGTGTGCACCTAGGGTTCCCTAATGCTCTTTAATGTTAGCGCTGTTTCAAACAGTATGAACATAAAAAGCTCACTAAGCTGCAGGTCACATTCCTGAGGACACACCAGCAGGAAGCCATGACCACATGTTTTAAGAAAAAAACCTCTAGTCTGCAGCGTTACTCCATGTAGGCAAGCCCTCTGGTACATTCTCAGTGCCTACAGTTGCCAGCTATTGCAACCAAATAATAAACCCTTTGATGCTACTACAGTACATGCACCAATGTATTCTACTTCAGAAAGTGTTTTTAAAAGATTGGAAGATGGTTTTAAATTGCACAAATTGAATATTTCATAATTAAAATCTGTTAATTCAATACTCTTGATAATATAATGGTTCTCACTATACTGAATGATGCACACAAAATTTCATTTTACAAATAATGCATATAGCATCATTATCTGTAAGAACACGTAAATCAGCTATGACCTCCGAAAGGGTACATTTAAGGTAAAGAAAAATAACGAACTCTAGGAAAATATATTCAACACACGTTATAAGTAATATTTGCCATCTCAAAAAGATAAAAAATGGCTAAAATCAGAGACACAATGGATATTGATTCAGATCTGCAGAAAAGTACATACCTGCAGTTATCTTTGCAATATAAGATAGCAGTTCTAACTGCCTTGCTTCGTCAGAAGATGGTATTGAATACAGAGGTAGCTCTTCCTCAAACTTTTCAATCATTTCTTTGATTAATCCAACAATAATTGACTTCGGCTGGAATAAATACATATATGAGAAGAGGTACAATCTTTACTTGCTATCATAAACAGCATGCCCATAAAATGCAGTTATTTATTGACAGGTATTAAGAGTCACTATAAATTTATCCAAACTATAAACACCAACCTTTCACACCAAAACCAATTTTTAAGATTGAGGAAAAGTAGCACCCCCGTTAATAAAAAGGTGGGACCTCCCTGGTCCAGCACCCTCGGGACCTGAGCCATCCCAAACCATGGAGTTTGCTGGACCAAGGGAAGTTAAGGCTCCCCTCCAAACCATGAACCAGCTGCCAGCTCCGCTGCCCCCCAAGCCCTGCCGGGGCTGCACTCCTGCCCAGTGCCAGGGCTATGCCCTTACCACCAGTGGCTATTTTCCTGGCCGCTAGCCCTGCTGCCTCTGGCCGGGCTGGAGCTCCACTTTCCGCTGTGGTGGCCTGGCCTGGGCTGCACTTCCGGGTGCCAGCCCTGCTGCCTTTGGCCCAGGCGGTGCCGTGTTCCCCGTGTCAGCCCCATTGCTGCTGGGGCTGCACTCCCCAGTACCAGCGCAACTCCTAAACTTGGCCAACTGGGACTCACTGGTCCAGCAATATCCTCAATCCTTCTGGACCCCAGATATTGCTGGACCAGAGCGTACCAGATTTTAGAGGTTTAACCTGCATTTCCATTTAATTTTTAATAACTTATTAATACAAATGTAAATATTTAACAATGGAAATGTGGATTAGACAAGTGGAGAATCTAGGGATTGAACAAAAATAGCACACACCAACTCAATTGGTTGTTTGAAGTATTATTGGACATAAGAAATAGCCTCTGATACAGTATCATAACTAAATACATGAATTAGATAAAAGAAATCCACTTAGCAGCTAAAATTGTTTTTTCTAGGAATGATTAGTATATAAAGTCCAAAAAACAATCTCCATAGTGCAATAATATCCATACCAGAGATAAGACAATTATATCAGTTACTGTAATTTTACTGAAAAACTGCACTTGATAAATATAACCTCTGTTTACCCAATCACTGGTTAGCGTTTTTCTTTAATAGAAAAGTTTAAACCCTTTTATTCCTCATTATTTCCTTGTAATATCGGACAGATTGAAGGCTACTGCTTAGATGGAAACAACTTCCTGCTTCTCTCTGCATATTCACTGACTGTACATTTAAGATTAACAAATGTAGAAGAGGAAAAAAAATGAGCATAATTTTTATGTAATATAAATATTCTTCCTGGAATTTTTCTTCTTACGTGGCTCCAGTTTTGTAGATAGGGCAAGTATATCCTGCCATGTGCATCTACGTGTTTTCCCACAGAGATTTCCATGTTCATAGTTGGCTTCAGAAAGCAAATGGGAGGAGCAAAAGGATGAGAATCCAAAATCCACAAACAAATTGGTATGTTATAGGAATTACCTGTTAGATACAAAACAAAAAGCATTATGACCACTGCATTTCAAAGGTATACTGAAATCATGATTGTGTGTTGTGTTTTCCTTAAAAGATAATACTTGATTTGCTTTATTTATGCTAATGATTTATACTATCCCTACCAACTCTGCTATATTAAGTATCAGATTAAAAAAAAGCTTTATAATTGTCAGGATTTCAAACAGAACTTGATCAAAGGAGCTTCTTACAGCAATCCATTTACTTTTCTAGGGTTAATATGACCTTGGAAACAAAGAGCTAATGAGGAGAATCAATATATTAAGTGCTCCATGCCTAGACTTCAAAAACTACAAGTTCAAGGAAGAGTCCTAATTATCTGGGAATATTGCATATTGAAACACACCCTACAAAGACTTTTAACAATACCCACCAGCATGAGAACTACGGGCTCAAATACACAATCATTCACCTAGTTAAGTAAATCAGTTTTCTAATATGTAGTTAGTTATTTCAGAGCAAATCTAGGAAAGAGCCTGTCTACACAGTGAGCTCACATGTGGAAAGCTAGGATATGGGGTCCACGTTTAGGGCATCTACAGTGCCCTGCAGTTTGGACTACAATGGATACACCAACCCTGCATAGACACTCCAGACACAAACTAATGTGAACCAAGACCTTTTCAATGTAATCCTGTTTGAAGAGAGTCACATTGCCATCCCCACTAATAAAGCCAACCTGAGCAATTTAACCCCAGAAACGAAAAGGAATAAAACACTAGTGTACAGAATTTAACTGTTAATCAACTTTACTTAGAATATTTTCAGAAATGAACTCTCACTCCAACCCTTTGGCTGATGGCAAGGAGAAGAGCACTCTTACTCTCCATTTCCCCCCCTCTCATCCCAGGGCTTCCTAGCAACTGCCTTCCACTCCAGCCACTGGAGCTATGCTGCTCCTCATAGCTTCTTCCTGCCCCCCCAAGAGTGAAACTGACCAGATTCTTAGTGTCCTATCTGGTTGAAGGAGTCTGAATAGCAGCAGTGAAACCTGAAAAATTAACAAGCCTACAGACTGCAGTAGTCCATTGTTTTTTATCTAGATCCAAATTTCTTGGTCAAGGTATAACCCAGACTCAAGATACTATAATTTTAAAATTATAACACTGATTAAATTTACTGATTATAAGTAAATAAAGATTTCAAGATCTGTTCAAAAGAGTTTGGGGGTCCATATTTGGCCTGGGGTCTGTCATGGCTCCTTCCCCACTCTCGCATGATAAATGCAGAAGTGGGGGCCAGCAAGTGTACCCCAAAGCCTTATCTACCAGGCTTTGGTATAAGACTTCCCCCAAAATCTTAAAAACCTAGATCTTGGGAATAAAACTTCCGCTGCCACCACCCAAATGTTGATAAAGAAATCAGGGGGAAGATCATTTGGGAAATCTCACCCCTAAGATAAAAATCAAGGCACACAATTAACCACTGCCAGGTTAATAAAAAGAAAAGAAGAACTTTTATTATTACAACAATATTCCTGTTGCAAACATACTGACTAGATAGGGAGGTAACAAAATATACTCATGGAGGAACTCCATGGGCCTAGAACTTAGTTACCAAGAAAAGCCAAAACATCTTTTAAGTAGTGCCAGATCTCAGATCTCATACCCAATCCTTAAAACAATAACCTAACGAAACTACCTAAACTTTACCCTACTTACAGAAAATGAAGAATGGTGTCTTGGAGAGAGAGAGAGACATGCTTGTCCCTCTCTGTAGCTGCAGAGAACTCACCCAGAGACACAAAAGGACAAAGAAAAAAAACCCAAATTCCTTTGTCCAAGGTTGAATGTCCCACCTACATTCCTACTGGTCACTCCACCTGGCTAGGTGTAGTTAACCCCTTAACCCCTAGGCTGCTGGCTAACCCTCATAATCATGACAGGGTCTGCCTACTGATTACCTCTGCTCTAGCAATTAAGCAACTGCTGCAGCTTGACCAGCTCTGAACAGCATCAGAGGCATTGGAGTTGTCCACCTGCAGTTTTAGAAAGCCAGCACTGGATCATTTCATGCTATGCTTACATGTGGATATTATTGTTAAAAAACAAAAGAAAGATACTGAAGATTTGACCCAAGACACTGAAGACCAAAGCAAGTAGATTTTTCAAGCACCGTCCAAGTCAGAGAAAAGTCTTAACCCAGCTCTTATGTGGTTTACGGGAGACTCTTCAGGTCATGCACCTTAGCAAAGGAAACAACATTTCTACCATCTTGGGTGTATGAAATTAAAGCCTTTTCCAAGCTTAATGGGACTAATCAGGAACATCCCTATTAAATGTACATAATGTCTTACTATTGTATTTGGCATTGGTATACGACGCAGTCAATTAGTTCTTAACCTTACCCTGATACTTCACTGGAATAGTGCCACTAAAATTCAAGAGGTCTTTAAGGGATCCATCTTTGAAAGCTGAAATCAAGAACAAGTTTTTTTTTAGTGGGGTGAGGATTTTTTTTTAAATATACAATATTCTAAGTAATTCCCATTAGTGCTTCATTCCACCTTTAAATAACTATTGATTCCAACTTTAAGATGCATGCTGAAAATGAACATTTACCAGCAAATGTGAATATTTAATCACAGGTTTATTTCTTGAACGTATATACTGCACATAGTAAGTAATTAAACTCACTCAGGTCACCTTTCTCTTTGCTACTTTTTTAAACAGAATGTTACTTTTTAATTTCTTTACTAGAGACTTACCCAGCATTGCCTGTGTCCTTCAAGAAAGGGCCTTGCGCATGTGGGGGTGCACAGGAAGCGGCGGGGGTGGGGCCTGTTCCCCCCCCCCAAACCTGAACAGGACCTGTCCCCCCACCGCCTTCCT